CCCCGGAAGGGGGGAGGGGTCTCGGAGCCCCGGGGCGGGGGCGGGCGGCGGGGACCTCGCCTACCTGCGGTGGCGCCCGGCCACTACCGGCCGCCCGCGAGGGCTCTGCGCGGCCGCTCGGCGAGCGCGCTCCGGCGGGGAGCAGGCGACAACTAATGGAGACATTTCCAGGCGGAGCACCTGGCGAGCGGAGCGCGCCGGCGTCCCCAGGCGCCGCGGTCGTCAGCCGAGCCCGCACCGGCGTGACGTGGGCGAGCGAGCGCGCTGCTCCCACCCGGCCGCCCATTAACGCTTTCCCCCGCGGGCGCCGCGCGCTCGCCAACTTTCCCCTCCGCCCGGCCCGCGCCCTGGGGGGCGTGGGGCGTGGGGGCAGGCACGGGGGGCGCCCTGGGGCGGGGGCAGGGACGCCGGGCTCAGAGAAGACGGCGCCGCCACAACGGGGCGGCAGGAAGGCAGGCAGGCCGCCTCCGTCAGGCCAGACCCTTCGGGGGCTGTTAGGCCGCCCTCCCCCGCGCCCCGCTGTCTTGGGCCAGAGGAAGGGCGCCCGAGACCGCCTCGCTGGCTCTTGGCCACAGTTCTCCTGAGTCTCCCCGTTGGCCACGCCACCCCGCGCTCCGAGGAGCTGGCGGAGGGCTCGGCTGCGCGCAGGCCTCCTGGGAGTAGGCTGGGCGAGCAGCTCTGGGCCCGGGCTTCCTTCCCCGCACTCCCAGCCCCGCAGCATCGCCCCTTGGCGCGGAGGGGGCCCAGCTCCCACGGCTGCTGTCCGCAAGAGTCCACTCGGGCTGTCCGGGCAGCGGCGACTGCCTTGGTGTGGGCAGGTGGGGGTGGCTGTACAAAGGTGACAGCAAGCCTGCCATCTGCCCAGGACCGGGTGGCCGGAGTGGGAGCTTGCTAAGGGCTGACTGCAGTGCTGCTGGGCTGGGGGTCCGGCCTGGGGCCACCCCTCTGCCTGGACAGCCAGCGGCTCCTGAGACCTGAGTCCAGGAGGGACGTCAGTCTGGGTGGGTCCCAGGTCACTCCGCCACTCAGCCGGAGGAACCTTGCCCTGCGCCGCCCCCCCCCCCCCCCGCCACCCCTCTCCCCATCGTTTCAAGGAACCGTGGAGTTGTTCTCCTCATGATCTGTGGCCTTATAATGGCGTCTGAGATTTGTTGGCCTGGATAATGTCTGAAAAAGTTACTTGCTGTCCTCTCTCTTTTTTCCCTTCAAAGCTCCGGCAAACGCTGGGGGACAGTGCTCATTTGCCTGCTCCGACAGCCGCACGCTGGTGGTGTTTGTCTCCGGGCCTCTCGTGTGCCTCTGTTTCCTCCACGGAGCAGAAGGACAGCCGGCAGTCCTGGCTTCCCGGCCCTGCCGCTGAGCCCAGAGCTTCCGCTGGCCTCTCTGGGAAGGACACAGCTTTGCGGTCTGGGTCCACTCTGGAAACACGAAGCTGGGCCTCGGGCGGGCTATGGGCCTGCAGACACCCTTTCCGACCCTGGGCTGATTGGAGGGGGTTGTGAGAGGGGTGCCTGTATGTCGGGGCGTCTGGAAACGTCCTCCAGAGTACGGCAGGGAGCTTGCTCGATTCTAGCCGGAAGGAAGTGGAGTCAGGGCTGCTGGCAGCTTCCTCCTCCCTCTTCTTGCCACAGGATGGTTTTGGCAGGGCCTCGGGGCCAACGGGGACAAGCACGCCAGTCCCTCCCCGCAGAGCCTACCTGGGACTTAGATTCTTTTCATAGCTGACGATAAGCAAGGCATGTTTGTGTTCACAGCCCTGATGGGGAGATAGGCGCATTCTGCCTGCCTTCGCTCATTCAAGACGGCAGCAGGCGTCTGAGAAGCACCAGGGCCCACGTGGAGCTCAGGGCAGCAGCCGGCGGCCTCCGGAGTCTCCACAGCCGGAACAGCACCCAGGCCCCTGGAAACGGCACCTCCCCAGAAGGTGCGCCGAGCGGCCCCGGCGCCCTTCCTTGGGGGGCAGGGCCTGCCTTCACTCCGCTCCCTGGAAGCCAATCTTCGTGTCCCCTCACTTGGACGCTGCCGGGCCTGACCTTGCCCGGCTCCCTGGCCAAGTGGCCGGAAGCGTCGATGGCCCTCCTCCGCCCCTGCCTCTCGGGCAGGAGGCTAGCGCGGCTCTCCTGCTGCGCTGAGAGGGCCTCCTGGGCCCGTGCTCTGGGGACAGGATGGCAATACCCCAGGTCTTGCCCAGGGAGCCTGGCAGGGAAAGTCCCTCTTTGGCCCGGGACTGAGTGATCCGTCCAGGGGGCCATTGTGCAACCTCCGAAGGGCAGCGGTCCCCCCAGGCCGACGGAGGGCGCCCCCGGCACTCCCTGCACAGGAACGAGGCCAGGGGCTGCGCCCACCCCTGCGCCCCCACCTCTGGTCCCTGTGGTCGGAGGTGCTCCCTGGTGGATCCATTGTCTGTCGATTGTCTTTTGTTTCTGCTGCTGGCAGAGCGGCCCCGGTGCGATCTGAAACAAAGTCTCCGTGCCCTCGGGGCCTGGCCCCGATGCGGCGTCCCCCCCCCCCGCCCCCCCAGCCTGGCCGTTGCAGCAACATGCAGAGGCATCTGGTGGGGGAAGAGGAGCTGGCCCGATGCTGTCTGCTGCCTGCCGTCACCCAGGGACCGGCGCCCTGGTCCCCCTCCCTGGGGACCCGCGAGAGGCTCCGACTGCAGTGGGGGAGGGGAAGGGGAGGCCACAGGAACCGGTCCCGAGTGAGGACGGCCTCAGAGGGACCGCCTGGCAGCACTGGGCATGGGGTCCCGAAGATGCCCTCGGGCTTGGAAGGGCCCAGCCTTCTAACGGCTCCGTGGCCAGACTTAGCCGCAGAGCAGCGTGGGGCCCAGATCCTGGGGCTGGACAGTGGAGAGCGACGTGGCTCATCTCTGGCAAGTTCCCCCAGGAGCTGAGGACTGGGGCCGCAGGGCCGTAGGAGGGCTTTGTCCCGGCCCAGCGCCAATCTGAATTACTTAAAGCAGAAAGTCCGAGTGGCTCCTCTTCCAAAGCAGCCTGGTGCTGGGGTCAGGGTCAGGGACAGGGACGTGCCCCTGGCCCTGGGTCGGAGGTGGCGGGGGCCGCGGCCCAGGGTGATCGCAGGGGACTGAGGGCTGCCCCCCACTGCCACCCGGTCACCGCCTCCCTTCCTGTTTTCCCACTCTCGTGGGCTTGGAAGGAGAGCAGGGAGCAGGAGCTGGCAAGTTTTTCTTTCTCCTCATTTCAGAAACAAGATGTCATGTCTGTGATGCTGAAACGCATGGGCAGATTTTAGGGAGGTTTCTGTTATTAAAAGCGAGAGGCTATCAATTCAGACACCGTGTGCAGCCTGTGTGGTCCAGCTTGAAACGCTTACCTGCCGCAGCCCGGACTCACCGGCACCCACACCAGAGGGAGGTACCGTGAAGCGTGGAAGAGACAACAGCCTGGAGTTTGACTGTCGTGTCGGAGTCCTTGACGGAAGGGTTGGGAGAGAACGTCTGTCTTGCGGGTGGCGACAGGAAGTGTCAGGGTGGGTCCCGAGTGTGTGAGCTTGTGGGGGGCCTCCCGTAGGAGCCCTGTGGGGTGTGCTCCCCGGAACTCGCGGCCGAAAGCCCGTTTTCCCACGGTGGCGGCAGCGAAGGCGCGGCCGCCCGCCTCGTTCACGCGCACTGCTCCGCAATCACACGCCAACAGCCCTGTGGCGGGTGGAAGGTGACCAGGCACCAAATGGCACTTGCCCAGGCCAGGGAGCAGGTGAGGGAGACAGAGGGGTGGAGCGCAGGGCACAGGGGGCTGTGCTGCCATCGGGGCTCGGCTGCTGGCCTCTCCTGCACCCCTCCCAGCCCGGGTTCGGGGAGGCCCGTGTGCACCCCTCCCAGCAGCGCCGCAGACGGAGCCATGCCGTCAGGGACCTTTGCCGACGTGGGCGGGTCAGCGCTGCGGGTCTGTCGTTGGGGCACCGATCTGCCTTGTACTTCGTTGTCCTGGGGACTCTGGTGTGTCCCCTTCCAGGGTGGCTGGGGACAGTTGCCGGCCACCTAAAAAAACCGAGTGTCCCCCCCCCCCCGCCTCCCCGGCGGTAAACTCAGTGCAGCTGGTGACGCTCCGACGGTGACCGGTGTCACCACAGGCTTTTAATTACTGTGGCAGCAAATCATACAGGAATGTCCTCCAGGAGGTGGCTGATTTTTATATAAAAAAAAGCCATTTCAGAGTATTTTTGAAATTCAATTAATTGAAGGCCCAGATAAAAGGGACACATTCTTAATGGCTAGAAAATAACCCCGAGGGAGGAGAGGGAGCCACCGAGCCCGACTTCAAAGTGTGACAGAAATACTTTTACTTTAAAAGTATCCAGATCAATGACTCAGTCAAAATTACTTATACATTTAGCAACCTTTTCGTTTTCTGTGTACGAGCGGCGGGAGAGGCGTTCTTCCTGCCCGTGACGAGAAGCTCCTGACAAGGGACTGTGGTCACCAGGCTCGGTCAGAGGCACACCTGCCCCTCGGGGGGCCCGACCCCCAGCTCGGGGCTCAGGGGAGCCCCTCCGCGGGGGCCTGACAAAGAGCCACAACCCAGGGGTCTCTCTCAGCTCTGGAGGGGACAAGTCCGAGGCCGAGCCGTGGGCAGGGCTGGCCCCCCGGGGCGGTGAGGCGGAGTCTGTCCCAGGCATCTGTCCGGCCTCTGGCGGCTGCTGGCGGTCTGGGGGCTCCTGGCCCCCGCTCCCATCTCTGTCTTCAGGCTCACACGGCAGTCGCCCTGGGCGTGTCCGTGCCTGTGTCCAAGGTTCCCGTTTCTGTAGGGACACCGTCATATTGGACTAGGGCCGCTCACTCCAGCACAATCACATCCTAACCGATCGCAGCTGCGATGACCTTGTTTCCAAGGGAGGGTGCGACCTGGGTGCTGGGGGTTAAACCTGCAAGGTACGAATGTTGAGGGGACACAGTTCGAGCTGTCACAGAGGAGGAGTCTGGGAAGGCCCGGGTTTGTGTCTTTAGAGCGACCCCCACCGTCACCACTGGCAGGTCCACGGAGGGGGTCCCCACGTGTGTCCATCGGGAAGGATGGCGTCTCACACGCCCTTTCCCCCTAACTTCTCGAGGCCTCTCGGGTCCCCGCCCCAAGTCTGGTGCGGCTGTGTGGGCGGTGAGCCCCAACATGCTCCCGGTTTGTTCCTGTGTTTTATTGCCGTCGGGCACATTGTATCCTCGCTTTATTTCTTTGCCTTCATTTCCTCCCTCCTACGCTACAATCAATGCTTCAGGAGGGTTGGGGACTTACTGTAAATAGTAGGTGCACATTAAACGCACAGTAGGGCCTTAACGAGTGTTGAATGAGTGAGGACACATGGGTGGCACTCTTCGTAGAAGGAGAGCCGCGCAGAGAAGAGACATCAGGAGGGTTCTTGCATGCGGGAGGCTGAAACTCTTCACGTGGGACGTACTGACAGAGCACCTTCCGTGTCCCAGGCGCTCTCCTGGGGCTTTGGGGTGCACCAGTGGACAGAAGAAAGAAAGACGTCTGCCCGGGGGAGCGTGCGTGTCCTCAGAGAGAGGCAGATAAGCAATCAGCAGACCGAATGACCGCGTAGACAAAGGAGCTCACTAAATGCACGAGTGCACACCCGCGTTGCTGATCCGTTGCTGTGCCTTGGCAGACTCAGCTGCGCGTACTGCTTCCCGCCCTCGCTTTTGGGGGCCAACCACCTTCTCTCACTGTGTCCTCTCCCAGCGCAGCTGGCCTTCCGTGGGCCCCCCGGGGGGGGGGGGGTCACTCCCGCTCAGCTGACTGGGACACCACAGACCCCTGTGACTGCATTCTCTGACCTTTGACTTCCCTGAGGTTTCAGCGAAGGCTGTGCAGTCGCGGGAGGCACGGCGGGCTCCAGGCAAGATTTCCCCGGTCCTCCTGGTTCCCAGCCTGCTCCCTCTTGCGTCTGGCCAGGGGCTGCGTTGAGGTGGTGACGCGCGGTGGGGAGCCGGCCCTGGGGGCCTCCTGGTGCTGCCCCTGGGGTGAGCGCCCTCGCCCACCGCCTGAGGGCTCAGGACCTTGTGACTGTCTTCTCCTCGCACTTCACCCCCCTCCCTTCCACCTGCTGTGGCAGACGGTGGCACCTTAGCTGGTGGAGGCTCGGCCAGGCTCCGTGGACGGGGCGGCGTGCTGACCTGGGTGGACACACTGTGAGAGCCAAAATCAGCCCCGATTTTAAGCCACTGCGTGTCGGGATTGTTGTTACGGCAGCTCGACCTGCCCTATCTGACTGCTACAGTTACTTCTTTTAATACTGTTATAATATAATTGTGTATTATCGTGTGATTATGCTATAATTATAAGTTACATAATTCCAAATTCAAATTGTATGTTATTACATAATTATACATTACAATCTAATTTTCAATACGGATGAAATACCTAGAAAGAAACACTAACTTTTTTTTTTTAATGTTTATTTATGGTTTTTGAGAGAGGGGAGAGAGAGACAGAGCAGGGGAGGGGCAGAGAGAGAGGGAGACACAGAATCCGAAGCAGGCTCCAGGCTCTGAGCTGTCAGCACAGAGCCCGACGCGGGGCTTGAACCCACAAACTGGGAGATCATGACCCGAGCTGAAGTGGGGCTCTCAACTGAGCCATGCAGGTGCCCCAGAAAGAAACACTATCTTAAATCTAACGTAAGGGCAAGATTATACAAGGACACTAAAGGCTGAAATGAGATTACATACCCTTTCATTGCTGCCATGGTCAGGAAAATATAATATCTTCAAGAAACTTTCTTAACTTACCCATGAATAGTTTCTATTTATGAACATTTCTAGCACCCGCTGGCCTCACTTCCTTGTCCTGGAACTCTCTGTAGGACTCAGTGTCCACACATTGTGGGACCTGGTTGCTCAGACAAGGGTGTCTGTCCGGCCGGGACTCTGGGACACTAACTGACCACCGCACTGGCCACTGGGGACAAGGACCATGAAGATCATCGGGGAGAGAGGGCTGTTTCGACAGGCCTGAAGGACTTAGAGAAAAATAATGATGTGATAGTATTTTACAGTTTTAAACTAGCAGCCCAAAGAACAGAGAACCAGGGAAATTTTAGTGTGGCCCTAAAAAAAATCAAAATCTTCTTTCTTATAGTTTAGGAAGATAAGAATATTTAATATTCTAATATTAGCAAATAATAATATTAAATAATATGTATTGGTATTTTACCTAGTTTTAGTGATTCAGTATTAGGTAATAACATTTCTTGTTGTCGAGGGTATATTTGACTTCGCAGAAATATTTTATTCTGTGAAATAAAACTGTGCTGGGGAGGGGAGCCACTCATACATGGGGCCCAAGGCAGGGGTGGCTGGAAGCTGCAGGTGTGGCTCAGAAAACCTGTTGGTTTTCCGTGCATTAGAAAAGAATAAGAAACTTGCAGACGTGGCCGAACGTAGTCCGTCGTCAGGTTTTTCCGAGCAGATTCCGTTTGTGTTTTCTTTAACCACTGACAGAGTGAGCTTGTGCGGTTAAAAGTCAGTCCTTCTGGAAGAGACGTTCCTTCTCCCTGGACTTCCCTTCCGGCATTTCCCTTGCCCCTGGTGGTGGTTGTGCCCCACAGACGTCCGCGGTGGCTGTCCCCTGACCCGCTCTGGATGCGTGGCTGGCATGGGCGTGTGCAGGGGCGGCTTGCTGGGCGCACAAGTGCTCACCCCGGAACCACACGCAGGGGCCGGCCCTTGGGTGCGGGACTTGCCTGCCAGTGGGGTCGCCTTGCTGAACACACACCTGCTCCTTCAGAGCCTCGGCCCCACGGCCCGGCGTCCTGAGAACATGCTGTCTTCCCTCGGAGGGGAGGTGCACGGGCCTGTGGGGCGAGCCGCCCCAGGAGCTCCTGACTGCCTGAGCCCAGACGCCACCAGGGTTTGCACCCTGTTTCGGTCCCAGCTCCACCGAAGGTGTCGCCACCGTGTCTGAGGGCCTGTGCACATAGGCGCTGTCTTCTGACGTTGCTCCTGGAGCCCGGGGTGAGGGACCCCGAGGGCTGGATGGGTCGCTCCGCTCCCCCAATCAGGGACAAGCTCAGCTGTAGACCTGCCTCTCTGCTCGGCGTGCCTGTCAGGGCTGGTGCCGCGTCCGGTGCCCTGGGACCCCCATCTTAGGCAAGACGCTCAGCTCAGACCGCCTCCCAGTAGGGCTGTCCTGCTACCTGACCGGTGACTCGTCTGCGGGACGTTCCGTTACAAGGAGAAGGCTAGAAATGAAGTCATTGGAGGTTTTGCTCTCCCTTCTACCTCGCGTTCTGTGGTGAGTCACAGGTTCTCTGAATTTCCAGAATCCTGATGGGGTCC